CAACAACAGCAGCAACAACAGCAATCCCGCCACGGCCGGAAGCACGGATCCCCCTCCCCCCCCGCCCTACTGCGTCCTCTGCCACTACCACGATCCGGCCTACTGGGAGGGCCGGACCAAGCCGAAGCGGCCCCCCCGGTCCCACCACTGCTGGTGCCCCCGGCGGGCCCTGGAACCGGGATCCTCCCCGGGCCGCCCCTCCAGGATCCGGTCCGTCCTGGAAGCGATGGACCACGGGGCCACCGTCCTGGGGTGCCCCGCCTGCTTCCACGAGGCCTCGACCGGCAAGCCCGTCCCCCTCCTCCGCAAGCACCGCAGGAAGGACGACCCCCGGCCGGAGCACACGGCCCTTTGCGTCGCCTACCGGAGGGCCCGGAGGGACGCGCAGCCGAAAAAGGGGAGGGGTGGGAGCGGGCGCCGGAGCAAGCAACAGCGCCGTTCGGAGCGGGGGAACGCACCGGTGGGAACCCACCGAGGACCTTCCGGCCACAGCAACGGGAAGGGGAACGGAGAGGCCACCGAGCGGAACAGAACCCCGGCAAGAGCGGGGAAACCGAGGGGATCCAAGCCGGTCGAGAACGGCTTGGCTTTCGTTGCAAACCACGGCAGCAGCAGCAGCAGCAGCAGCAGTAGCAGTAGTAGTRGCAGCAGCACCACCACCACCACCACCAACGACGACGACGACGATGCATCCGTCTACCGACCCCCCTCCAAGAGAGCTCGCATGGAAGCCTTTGCCTTCTCCGAACGACGATCTTCCGGTGGCAACAAAGCCGGGAGCAGGCCTGCTGCACCGAACCGACCGCGGAAACAAACACAACGCCAAAAGGGCAGGAGACGTCCCCGCACCGACCCTTGCACGCACGATTCCCACCAAAGGGTCGAGGAGGAGGAACCGAGACGATTCGGTGGAACCGCCCTTGGTCACCAAGAACGCAACGGAAGCAACAACGGCAGCGACCCGCAGAGACCCAGGCCAAAATGGGTCCCCCTCTGCGACAATCCCTGGGGGAAGGAGGGCTACCAGATCGGCGACGTCCTCCTCTTTGGACCCCAGAAAGGGATCGGACACCACGAAGCCACCGCTGCTTCTGCTTGTGCTTCTGCTTCCGCCACAAGGGGGAGCGAAGAGAACAACCCCTTTTTCCGCTACAGGGTCGATCCCTTTGGGGAGGCCTCGGCCTACCGGGACACCCACCGGACGCCGGAGGAGGGCCTGGGCCTCCTGGTGCTGGAACGGGACGCCCTCGGAACCCTTCCGTGGGGCTTCACGCTTTTCCGGGAACCGGCCGGCCACGCCTGCCTCGTGCGGACCGTCGACCCGTGCTCCCCCGCCTCGGCCGCGGCCCTGGTGGGGGTCTCCCCCGGGGGGCAGCCAGCAAGCGGCAATGGCAGCAACAGCACCAGCAACAACAACCACAACCACAACCACGGCAACGGCAACCACCACACCCCCAACGGCACCGGGCTGCACCCGAACGACATGGTCCTCGCCGTCAACGGGAGGCCGGTGGGCGGAATGACGGGGGAGGGAGTCGAACTCGAGCTCGAGGCGAGCGCCCCCAACCTCCTCCTGGCCGTGGCCCGGTACAGGACCGGGGGAGCCGCAGAAGCAGGGGGCCCCCCCGCTTTGGAAGCGGACGGTGGGTCGGAAACCTGGGAGGACCTCGGCGAACACGAACACGAAACCGAAAACGAACACGAAAGCGGGAGCGGACCACGGGCCGCCTCGGGCGGGGCCCGAAGGGCTTGTTCCGGGGGCACACGCGGACGGGACACCGCGGCGCGGGACCGGTGTCCCGAGCTGGGATGGTGGGTTTGGCTTTGGCTTTGGCTTGCGTTCCGTTCGTGGGGTTGTCGGCAATTCTTTGGCACCAGGGCCCTCGAACGCTGCCGCAACCCTTCCGTGGTGGTTCTCTCTCACGCATACGCATACACATACGCATACACATACACATACACATACACATACTAACGCGTCTTGTTGTTGTTGTTGTTGTTGTCGTTGTCGTCGTCGTCGTCCGATGGATTCCCACCAATTCGCAGCGTCTGTGGGAGAACGCACAAACCGTCCCTCAAAAAGACATTTTGGATCCAGTGCGACCGCTGTTGCTCGTGGTATCACGTCGCCCAAAAGTGCCTCGGGTTCGACCGGGAGAGGGCCGGCAGGGACGACTTTTCCTGGAGCTGCGGGGCCTGCCGCTTCCCTCCCGAACCAGCGGAAAGAGAGAAAACCGTGTGCGGGGTGGTTCCCCACGGCCTCGGCACGGGCTCGTCGGTTGCGGCTGCTTCTGCCGCTACGAATGCTGCCGTGTGTTTGCCTGTCCCCCGCACGTCGGGTGGACAGAACCCGGTGAAGCGTCCCGCGGAACCTCCGTCCCCCACCACCGATCGGATCGCACCCACCGGTGCACGCCCGCCGCAAGCCACGCGGCAGGCCCCGGTTCCAACGGATCCGGGGGCAGAGACTCCGCCGCCTTCCACACCGGAGCCATCGGAAGCGACACCGCCGGGGGCAACAGAGGCCACGGCGACACCGGCACTCGAAGATCCGATCCGCTGCGGCGCGGGAGGTCCACCTTCGGGCGCCTCGGAGTCCGGGACCGATCCGGATCGGAATCCGAAAACCCGAATCGGAGACGAGAGCAACTCAATAAATGCTTGTTCGGCGTCGGAGAAGAGAGCCACGAGCCCTCGCATCCCAAACGAAACGAAAACGAACGCATCCGACGATTCATCGGTGGCAAGCCCTCTGATACCACGCGACAGAATGACCGGTTCCGGAGGCACGGAAGATGGGATTTTCAGAGAGGGCGATCTGGTCATCGTCGAGAACCACGCCTGGGCATACGTGAACAATTCTGGGGGGATCGGCCACGTCGTGAAAGCATACCTCGACGATGACGGGGATCACGTCTACGACGTTAGGTATCCCGTTCTCCTCAGGACGGAAAAAGGGATCGCACCGAAATACATGAAATTCTATAGCTTCTAGACTTGGACCAGCGACTCCTACGACCGTTATCGGTAGCTAACACGTATTCGACAACAGATAGCGCGGTTGCGCTTCGTATCAAACAACCACCGATGGCGACGGCTGCGACGATGGTTGATGGTTCGTCCAATGAAATTTATTATTCCTTTTTTATTATAGGCGCGTCGACGATTCCGAGCGTCAAAAAGTCAAAGTGGAGCAGAACCCTCGAAACCGTGCTGGCTGTTTTCCAATCCATCGACACGGGATTCTGGCTTTCGTTGATCTTGACCGATTGTCTTCCGTGCAACTCGATAACGGTGTCCCACAACGATTTGTTGTCGTCTTCGTTCTCGACAGGATCGGGGAGGAGTCCCTCGAGTTGTTCGAGGATTTCAAGCGCCTTTTTCTCTTCTTCCTCTAGCCCTTCCTCGTGGTTGCCCATAGTTGCGACAGCGTTCACCCGGCCGTTCGTTGCGTACTCCGTCAATATCTTTTCGAGTCGTTGTTTCACCTCTGCTTTCATCTCTATTTCGCCCTCGCTTCCGAAAGTGTCTCCGCCACCCGATGGTCTGGGATATTTCAGTGCACCATCAAGGACTCGATAAAGAACTATGTTCACGACGTCGGAAGAAGGGTGGTCGCCTTCGAGGAATTCCTGTAGAAACCTCCAGCGGTCGAATCGATCTTCGCTGCCGTCGAAGGGTATCGAGACAGCATCCGTCTCGGAAGCAGAGCCAGCCATGCCATTCCCGATGGCGACTCCCGGCCTCCGTTGTTTGGCGTAGAACCCGGCAAAGGGTCTCTTTTGCACTGACGAGTCGGCACGGAACACCGGTGCAACCACGGGCTGGAACGATTGCGAAGACCGGGAATAGCAAACCACGAGAAATACCAGGCTCTGTGCGAGCGCAGCCAACAGGGCGGGCGCGGCTTTTTTGTTTACCGACAAGGAGGTCATGGTGTCACCGCACTCTTTGCCGATCACAATTAACAGTGGCAAGAATCGGTATGGACAGTCGTACCTGCGACGAATTGTGATGTGGACCTATTGTCCTGCATTAGTTCATCGCTAACAGAAGCAAGGATTACCAAAAACCATCACATCGACGCGTAACTTGCATACGAGTACCGTACATACGGTACAAAACTGACCGGGAGAGAAATTTATTTTGCGCTGAAAACTGCGATGATCGCTTGATCACTCATTTACCTTCCAGATTTTCTGATGATACTCGTACTACCGTAGGTACTACTTCGTACTAGTAGTACCATTAATAGTAGAAGTAGTACTAGCTAGTAGTAGAAGTACTATTAGTAGTACTACGTACTACTAGTAGTACCAGTAGTTGTAGTATTACTACTACTATTATCACTAGCTACTACTACGAAGTACTAGTACTACAGATAAGAATTTTTTACTACTACTACTATTACTAGTAGTACTAGTAGTAGTACAGTACACAATAACATCATTTTCTTTGTTAATGCTAATCTTTTGGGTGCTGCTGGGTGGTCTGGAGGGGGAGGAGATAGTACTACTAGTACTACGTCACACTGTGACGTAGTAATACTAGTACTAGTAGTACTACTACTAGTAGTGGGGTTGTTTTTTCTGCCTTCTTGTTGTTGTTGTTGTTGTTCTTGACTTCTTCTTGTTCTTCCTTCTTGTTCTTGTCGCTCATCCTTCTTCTTATTATTATTACTACTACTACTACTACTACTACTATCCTCCTCGTCATTCTTTTTGCTGTTGTTCTTGCTTGTTGTTCTTCTTGCTGCTGTACCGGTGCTGGTGGTGCTGGTCCTTGTTGTTCTTCTTGTTGTTCATGTTTGTGTTGGTATCATATTGTTGTTTTTTTAACTATGTAGTGAAACCGGTGCCCTAGTAGTAGTAGTGGTGGTGGTACTACTCGTAGTAGTTTAAGTAGTACTAGTAGTAGTACTACTACTCGTAGTTCTTATTGTACGAGTACTACTAGTGATGAATGTATCAACAGGAAACAACAACAACTAATGCTGATGATGTTCTTCATTTGAAATTCATACCTCATCCTTTTAGTTTAGATCACTCATAGTGCACAAAAAGGGTCATCATCACTTTATCTCCTGTGTGAAAACTCAATGGTTGTGTTCCTGGAATTCATCAATAAACTTATCTAGTAGTGACATTGCTGCCGATGAACGTAAAAAGTGTTTGTGTACACAGCACTTTAAAAGTACGAAATGGAGAAAAAATTCTTCAAAAGAAATCCTCTATCATATTATTCTGATGTACAGGGCGCGGTGCAGTGCAGAAGCGAGAGAACGATATCCAACTCGAAGGAAGGAAAGAGAAACTGGATCTCACAGACTTGTGGAGATCTACAGCAAAATGACCCATACTATTTATGCTTCGCAAACTGATATTTAGCAGGTAGGTTGAAGAGGAACAGATCCTTCGATAACATTGGCGAAGTACATTCCTGCGATTCCAACCATAGCCAGACGCCCGTTCTTGATCTCGACGTCACGGCCACGTGCCAATTGGGCTTCAGACTTGCCCGCCGAGAAGTTGAAGGGATCATAAAGTCCAGGGACCATGTTCTGTAAAATACAACACCAGAATCACGTAAGAAGAAGTCGATGATCAAATGTGATAATCTGCATTACTGCACGACATGGAAATGAGATCCATTCGAACAAAACAAATACCTACCTTTCCAGGAACTCCGCCACTCATGTAATGAGTTCCTCGTCGAGCGTAGAAAAGCTCGTCGTGGAATTCAATAAGTCCGGCAAGAAGGAGCATTTGCGCTTTTCCCCATCCTGGTACGGCATCCCAAGCGGCAAGACCCTGTCCAGGGACATCGGCAAAGTTGAGTCCGTGGGAAAGTTCTCCAGGGAATCGGAGTCCGGCTCCAGAAGTGGCACACCATCCAACGAAGGCAGCCATCGCCACACGCCCGTGCTTGATTTCTGCATGTCGGAACCAAGAAATAGTTTCGTCACCTCCCAACTGAGAAAGTCCAAGAGGATCATAGATTTCTCCCAACTCCAATGTGTTAGGGGTGGACAAAATTTCGTCACGGGTGAGTTCGATTTGGGTGACGGACTTGCTGGCACTTTGCGTAGGCGCAAAGGCAGAAGCGGAGGAGACCCCAAGGGCAAGGAAAGCGATGGACGACTTCATTTTGGATATTGCTGATGATTATAAGTCACTCGCAACTTCGTAATGGTACGATGCTGTTGGTATGCTTCGACTTCGATAGCCAAACCACTGTTGAGAACTCGTGAAGAACGCATTATTTTTTTCACATACCATCAACTGCACAAATCTTTTGACTTCAACGAAAAAATCACCTCATACTCTACTTACATACCTACATTACGTAGGGTAATATTTATTCTCATCAAAACTATTACCATATGATTCATATATGATAAACATAGAGTAACGTCATAAACCATTGACAGCACATACCTCTTAAACCAAAGCTGACAAGCTGAGCTGTTCGAATATGAAACTTACGTGTAATCCCCGTCCTTTCCTCTTATTGGACTTTTTTCTCCCAAAACAAAATTCTCGATTTTGCTCGAGAGAGGTTGTCGACAGCAGTACGGTAAGGTACGTACCGTACTGTACGGTACGTACTCCTATTTTTGTACTCTGGTGGTGGCTCTATGTCTGATATCATCAGTATCGGTACGGCACAATCGATTTAGACTACGAGAACCATACCGTACAGTATTGACGCTTCTCAGAATTTGTTTGTTCTCCTGCCGTTTCCTCACTCTTGTCACAACATTTAATGCAAACCTGATAGAAACCATGAAATCTTTTGCCTGCACACTCGCTCTCCTTCTTTCGGCGTCTGAAGCGTCTGCTTTCTCGACATCATCTTCGTTCGCGGGATCCTCGATTGCGACTGCCCCACAGAACAGCTATGGCATGTCCATGGAGTACATTCCTAGCGGAATCTCAAAGGAACAATGGAAGAAGATGAAGGAACAGGAGAAGAACAAGACCAAGGGGAAAAATCTAGGAGCTAGTGGAATCACTACGTTCAAATCCCGTTCTTTTTCTGACTGGCAAAAGGCCGGTGGTAAAAATCTTTTTCCCGGTAAGTTTCGCGGCTTGGAGCACTACCAAACGATTCAAGCCTTACTACGCCAGGTTTCGCAGATAAAGTTTGTTCATTACCTCATTTCATGAGTTTCCTTTTATTAATTTTCTAGTCGATCCTAAATCGGTGAAGGACCCCAAGGATCTTCCATACATGCAAAGACCTGGAGGGTCTGCCGATGATTCCGATCTTAAGGGCAAAAAGAAGGGCGGGTTTAGCTTTTCATTCGGAAAGAAGAAGCCGGAACCAGAGCCTGAACCGGAGCCCCCTAAGAAGAACTTCTGGACTTTCTAAGCAGTATCATATTACCGTTCCCTGCACAGAAGCTTCTGTTTGACATGAAATCTCCGTGACATTGCGTTCGGACACTGAAGTAACTTAATGATATATTAGTGGATTTTTTAGAAACAAGATCTTTGGAAATTTAGCAGTATCGTCAAGCCCCTCCCGTCAGCTAATTTCTATTAAGACACGAAAGTGCAGAGAACAAGATCAAAATAAACTTTCATTTACACATAACGGGGATGTGAAGCGTTCTCACGGATTTGCACGCATAAATCAATCAATTGGTTCGTATCATGTATTCTCCATGACCCATTTATAACCCTTATCTGATCGGGACGGACGGAGAATCAACATGGCAATTTTAGCCTTCGAACGAAGCAGATCCATGGCATCCTCTGCTGATTTAATTTTGTCTGGTACTTTCTTCGCGTTGACAGAAAGAATTTTGTCGCCTCGATCCAATGCTGCTTCGATTTTTTCCATCGTAGAGTTCGAATTATTTTTTTGTCATGGATCAAGAGAAAAATATGATCATTTAGGATACTGTCATGGATACTAGTTACAAATAAACAGAAACGAAATAAGTGATTGCCTCGCGTACCTGTCTTGCGGAAAGGACCCTGATCTACCTTGGTGACGTAAAGTTCATTTCTACTGAACTTCCCTTTCCCCACCTTAAATTCCACTATTTCTATTCCAAGATCGACGTTCTCTTCCTTCGTGATGTTTATCATAAATCGATCGTCTGGGTTGTACTTTGATTGAACCCAGTCGCCGTCGTCTTTTCCTTGATCCTTGGATGTGCTCGCATTTCGCTTCAGAGCATTCAACCTCGCTGCGGCCCGTGCTTTCTCTTCTCTATCAACAGAAGGCTTGTCGACCTCCCAATCAGATTCACCGTGGTTAACATCCTTATGATGTTTATGATATCCAGAATCACCTGCATCTTTGCAAGAACCACTCCGATCATCTTCGTCATCACTCTCATCGAGTGATCTGGGGTTTCCGCCGGAGCGTATTTTGATGCCTTCTCCAATGTCAACTCTATCGAATCCAGGGGCATCCTTGTAATCGATGTCATCTTGATCATCACTTTCACTTTCGGCGTTATTATTTCGGCGATGTGCACTCGCTGCTTTTGAAGAAGGCATTGCGGCAGCGGCAGCAGCAAGTTTCTTCATACGTATGGAAAAGAAATTACACCAAAATTCGATCCGACAGGTTGAGTCCATCTATTCACGACAAGGTACAATGCATCAACAATTCTAAGCAGAAGAATATTAGAGTGACTTACCGTCTTTTGACGCAACCTTGTAAGCTCTTCGTATTCTTCGTTACTTTCACTTTCGCTTTCTCCACTGTCATCATCCACAGGGACTCTAAAAAAATTAACAGAAGTTGGAATTAATTTAGATAAAAGAGTAATCCCATGATTCCTTCTCATACTGCACTTTTGAATCGCAGACAAATAGTTTAACAGAACCTACACGTCGAGTTGAATGAAATTGATAAGATCATTTGAATGCTTTTCGTTTTTGAAACTCCTGTGAGAGGTGCCATTGATCTCCAAGACACGATCGCCCACCCCAATCGTTGTGCAATTATCGGGAACCTTGGTGATGTAATAAAACCCATCTTCACGTCTCCTTTTCACCTCAAACCCAGTTTCCTTCCTTGGCTTTGTCTTCACCGATATGCTAATCAGCCCCTCTATTTCGTCGTCGTCGGTCATCGTTGATTTGTACGAAGCACCCTTGCTTGTCCTTTTATCAATTGTGTCACACGTCGATGAATAGATAATCTCTTAAGCAATCTGCATTCGTCCTACCGGTAGCCGTACTGTGTACGTTCGTACTGTACCACAACGGTAACACTATGAACTACTTCTTCTATGAACTAGAATACCCCATCTTGATTGTTGATGACTGTTTTTAATCAATCTTCGTAGAACTTACGAGTTTTCTAGTACGAACAATACCATAATGTATGACTAGAAGAGCCCCTAAAATGTCCATTGGGGCCCTCTTTTTAATGATTCCTGTTAGTAGAGTCTACTGTACCGGTAACGTAAAGTAGACCGTTTAAACTTTTAGACCATCTAGATTAACGGGAATGACCCATTGTTGTGAAGATTCATCTTAATATCGCAGTTTGATCCGAAAGCAAACGAAGATTCGTTTGGTGCTGAATTACAAATTACTGTACCGGCCGGTACAGTAAGTACGATACTCGTACTTGTCTTTTACGTACTAGAAGTAATGCACAGGGGTCATAAATTTAGGACCCCTGCTACGCTACAGTAATGCATTGGTATTGTTGTACCTGTACGACTACTCGACAAATAGTGTAACGTAGACTAGCCTACTACAGTAGAGAGAGAACTGTAGCAAAAAGTACGAACGGTACATACTGTACGTTTCATCCATACGGTACGGAAGAACTGAACCCGCGAACACATTCTGCGAATCCGCAGGCGGCGCGAACATCATGTGTACGTACGTACTGGTTTAGTAAATCGGATGTACCACGATTTGTTTGAGGTACGTACCGTAAGAGGTCCCAAAAATTGTGATCCAAAATGCGCGAGGGTCTTTCTATCATTTTTGTTCTTTCGTGGTAGATCGCTGTCGTCGTATCACGACCTTTCATTTCTGAACTTTCGCTAGAACTTTTCGGTGCATTGCATTGGCTTCTGCTCATCTTCCAGTTCTCGTTATTATTTTACTCCGAACCGTACCCAATTGTACATTCCAACTCCCGTCGGCACATTGCAAGTACCAAGAAGACCAAGACTCATAATGAATTTCTCCACAAGAACCTTCCTCATTGCATTGGCTGTAGCGGTGGCAACGACATCTGTGTCGTCGTTTTCCACCGTATCACCTGTGCTTCGATCTTCGACAACGACGATACCATCGATTCGCAATGTTGGTCTCATTCGTGCGAGCACGGCCGCTGGCAACAGTGATGGTGCTGTCACAAACAAAATTATCAAACAACTAGAACGAGATGAAGCGAAAATGATTAAGAAGAGAGAAGCTGCTATGGAAAAATTGAATAAGGTCGAAGCGTCGTTAAATCAGTTGCAGAGCAAAAAGCAAGAATACTTGAATGGCAGCAAGCTCGACTCGACTCCCGCTGCAAATTTCTCTGAAACGACTGGAAGATCCGCTGTTAAAGCGTTGATGTGGCGTGTCATCGCTGGAAGTGTGACATTTATCACTTCCTTCAAGTTCTCGGGATCCGTTGCGACCGCTCTGTCAATTGTCGGATCAGATTTCCTTTCCAAATCATTCACGATGTTCATTGGTGAACGCCTCATGAATAAGTCACAAGCTGGAAGAAAGTCCGGAGCCGACGGTGCTGGACGCTCCTTGATGAAAGCCTTGGTCTGGAGACTTTTTGCCATCTGCAACACTTTGACCATGGCCATTTTCATCGCCAAGGATATCAGCATTGCCTCGAAGATCGCAGGTTCGGACGCCATCTTCAAGACCGCTCTCATGTTTGTCTACGAACGAGTTTGGGCGAAGATCGAATGGGGCAAAGAATACCAAGTGGAATACAATCTCTAAGAGAAGCCGATACTTGACTTTTGTGTGTCTAATTTCGACACGATTTGGATTTGCGCATCTGCAGTTCTCACAACCGAGATTACGTACAGAATGAGAACCAGATAAACAGAAGAGTATGATCACCAGGCATCATGGTATCGAAAACAATGAACTAAACTTTATCAAAAACGCTTATTCCTTGAAATTTGTATCGAACCGTACCAGTATCGAGAAGTAATTTCTTTTTCTTCGAAAATTCTGACAGATTTCGACTGAAGGCCTAGAAAGTATACACTTAGTCCAGAAGGCAAACACAGATTCTCCTTTCATGCTCTAGATATAATTGTTTCGATTGTTGTCAGTTGTCGACAGTTCGTACGAGAAAACCTTTTTTAGTTTCAATTGACAAGTGTTCGATTTATTTCGTCGCAGAGCGAAATGACAAAACCTGAGCCTGTGTGTCCTTTCAAGTTTCCTGCTGTACTCCTAGTCGGAAGATTGTAAGCCCAACTGCAATCGTATGCCACGAAATTCCGGTAATACAGGAGAAAGTAAGACCGAGACGGAACATGTTCAATCCAGTCAATTTTGTTCTGGATCCCAACTCCCATCCCCGTAATACAAAACGCCCCGTTTTCAAGTTCTCTCTACTTTGGGGGGGGGTGCAAAACTTTGGTAATTTTTTCTCGGGTATTACGTACCAAACCGGTATGATTTCGGACGCCCCCGACTGGAGAAGGGAAAACAACTCGGAAAACCTTGTTGCAGACTACCAAGTACGATACGAGCTTGTACCAGGTGCTAGTACGAGTGCAAGTATCGTATCGTACGAGTGCTCTAACCCGTTACGAGCACCGAGCACCCACACGCACCAAGGGGTCATAGTGTACAGTTCGTACTCTCACTAGTAGTTCCTGTCGTTGCTCGCACCCACATTGTTTGACAGCGCAGGCGGTCAACCCAGAATCATTTTCTTCCCAAACTGAAGAAACGACGGAATCAGACTCGACCTTCAGAAAACTCCATCTACTGTATCATATGCAGCATCCGAAAACGGTGATAACGCATCGTTGTTCAGGATTGGAACATCAGGCCCTTTAACCGTAAAGAACAACCTCCCTTCTCGCTGATTTGAGTATGTTCCATTTGGTCGACAAATCTTTCAAGGGCAGGAAAGAAAAACGAGAGTCTGCCTCATCTTCCGCCACGGCCATGCTGATCAACAAATTAAATCTTCCTTCATTCTCCCAATTCGAACTGTTCGATGATGATATTCGTAAATTGATCCTCTCTTTTGTTGCGGAGGCGCCCTATCAAAGAAAAATCGGAGAGTACCACCAAGGTACGCTGACGTCTACAATACCTCTTGTGAACAAGGAATTCAACTCTTTTGCGGTGCTCGATTATTTTTGGCAACCCATTCTGAGGAAACAGCTCGACCATAAATATCACGGTGTTCTGTGGAGGGAAGGTCTTCGACGACTTCTTCCGTTGGACGAAGATGTTGACGACGAAGAATTGCTGAATCTGGAGAAAACAATCCGAACTATAAGCGCACATTTTGGCAATACAAGGATGGGTTGTAGAGATATCTACAGGAGGGTATTGACGAGCCATATTTATTTTGATGCCCCGGTCTTTATAATGCCTTGTCAAGTACAAATGGGTGAGATATATGGTCTCCATTTGTTTGAGCCTCGATACCGTATAATGGTTCACGAGTTGATGATGGGATGCGAGAACCCTGTGGAAGCTTCCAGTGGTGGAAAAATTCGGTTCGGGAGACAGAATGGTGTAGTAGCCCCACCATTTTTGATTCACGCATGTTTGGGCAGGGTCGCTCCGGGGGAACTGGCGGTTTTGGTTCAGCTGGTATGGTGTCACACCTACGAACGCGGAACAGCCGACGTTCGATTGCTTCCTGTTTCTTGGGTAAGGCTCGATCGGATTTGGTTGCGAAGGAATGCCCATAATCTCTTTTATGCGAAGGCCTGGAGGTTGCCCCCTCAATCATTTGGTTCCTAGTTTGCTGTATCTGCAAACACGCACGCACCGAAGTATGCCGAAACACTGGATTGCACATACAGAAATCGACAAGACTTGTATATTAATTCTTAAGAAATGGTTAGAACTACTTTGGATATGAGTCTAAGGCTTACATTTTGTCAAGATCTCATCTCGTATCATTCTCGAAAGGCGCGGGCAACGACGCCGGTGCCACGGACTGAGTGTCGAACCACCTACCAAGTGCAATGGCGTCCATTGCTACGGCAAAATAACACGGCCCAGTAATGCTAGACAAGGCCAACTCCCGATAGCTCGATGTACCAAAGACAACTCGGAGCAATTGGAGAAGCAAACTGCTGTCGTCGGAAGCGGTAGTGGCAACCGAGTCGACCAAGAAGTTTTGCAACGGTAGGTAATCGGCGGCCCCTTCGAGATACGTCCAAACGCCGTGGCCGACAAACGGCAATTCGCTAATAGGACCACCGACGGCGGTCACGGTAGCCACCAATAGTGCAGTAATCGACCCATCCAATAACACCCACTGCAACACAGCTGCCGCTATCATCACACACAGAGATGCCGCTTCGGGGTGTCCGTGCGCGACATTCAGGTTGTCGAATATGCCTGGGTGGGTTTCCAGGACTTCAGAGAGTTTTATTATCAGTGCCGTTGAGGTTACGGCAAGGATCGCGCGAGTTCGAAGTTCCCGTGATGACGAATAAGGAATAGATGCTTTCGCGGTTGTCTCTAAGAGAGGCGGTCTCTGGTTTGGATTTTGATTCGATAGCAATTCTGCAAACGTCTCTGCGATTCGTGGCAAAACCCCTCCGAGAACAACGTAAGCAAATCCTAAGAGAGGAGGCACGGTCCAACTGGAGCAAAAGAAAAACGGATACTGGTCGGAAATGGCACCACTCGCATCACTAGCTATGGCAGCGAAGCCGACCATTTCGGTCTGCTTCTGCAGGAATGCCGGTGGCCATTCGAGACATATCGGGAGAACTTGGTAGCGAAGCAAGCACTGATTGTGAAGAGAGTCGACGATCGGACCAACGGTGGCCCCGGTGGCAAAAAGCTTAGCAGCTGTAGATGGGCTTAGGGTTCGCATCGGTTTGCTCTAATTCTATGGAGCATTCGGTACAGCCCTGATCCGATGGTGGAGCCTATCGTGCTTGCTGCCATGGTGAAGAATTCCACCGCATCGGTGCACTCAAAAGCTGAGACGGATGTCTTCGTTCTACAGACCGTACGTACCGGTATGAGTACGTACCGTATCGTAATTACTAATTACAGTACCGTATGTGCTCGTACTCCTGCTCTCACACACAAAATTCCTACAGTACGGTACGTACGTACATTGTACATCCGTCCCCGGCAAATTCAATGGAGGTAAAAACGCGACCAATAGTAGTAGTAGTACTACTATGTACGTACAAAGTACAGGTAGATCAGATTGAAGTCACAATCATGGAATTTCCAGTTCAGTCGTTACCGTGTTCAATTTCTACGAAATTCGTAGTACGTACGAACGTACGTACTACAGTTCCATAATTCGAATTTCGGACTTGTCCTTCCGTTCCATTTCCATGAACTCCCCAATGCGTTAGCAACGAATTTACAGTGAGAAAGGATACAGAATCGGAGGATCGTCGATTGTATCGCGTGCACGTTGAGTGCGAAGTAAAGATCCGCAAAAGAAACGATAACGAATTATTCCTGCTGGCATTATAAGAATAATGATTGATCTTCGTCAGCGTAGAGGAGGCAGGTTTCTAATTGTTCCACGCGTCACCGCAGTTTGCTTTATACTACTGAAGTCGGCCAACTCGTTTCAATCGAGTCGTCAACTCTTTGCCATCCGACGAAACACATGGAGTTCCGACGTGACCGGTTGCGAGACGAGAGATTCTCAGGTATTCCAAAGCAGCAGCAATCGCAAGGATAGCACCGAGGACGATTTCATAGATAGGATTGCCGTCGCGTCGTCTCTCTACTCCAAAATTGACGATGCGGATGGAAACTCTGATCGAAATCGTCGTGATTTTCTTCTTTCAACAGGCAGTACCTGTTTTGCGTTGACCAGTATTTTGAAGTCGAACCCTGCCGAAGCCATCAACATCTTCAACAAGCAGGGATTGTATGTACTGAATACGAAAGACGAATTGTCTGCATCGTCCATGGGAAATGAACAAGTTCAGGTTTTTCCCAAACTGAGTTCCGAGTATGCGCTCTTGAAAGTTCTACCCGTGAAAAACCCTGTCTTTCGGACAGTGGAACAAAACCTGGAACAACTCTCGGTGCTCCGATATCGTCGTGATGCCAGCGAGGACAATATCGACAAAGCATGGGCGAGGGCAGAGTCTTCAATCGATACCGCCATGTCGATCCTTGCCAACAAACGAAATCAACTGGAGCCTGTCTTCAACCCAGACGACAGCACCGAAGTGGCTATTCTCAAAGCTGAAAGAGGAGAGATTCTACTTGGTGACCTGAACGAAGACTTGGAATACCTGAAAGAATCGATCCAATTCAAGGTATGTTGAACAAAGTGAATTTTTCGTTTTAATTGCCCCCTTTATTTTTGTATGGAGTTTGTCACTCATACCTTCTTGGTGTTTATTCTATTATAGAACGTTACGTGCGCATTTGAAAAACAACGAAAAGCTTTATTGACCCTTGGGCGATTGGGAGAATTACTTGTGAAAGAGTACCCATACAAGGTCCCAAGCAAAGGCAAATACTCCTTTTTACCACGACTATTGGGTCGTGCCACAGTCACCTTTCGGTTCAAACGACCCTCTGGGACAATCATAGGAGACGTCAAGATCGTAGCAGACGGTTACACGGCTCCAATTACAGCTGGCAACTTGTAAGTCAGAGTGAAACACATTTTCCATGGCAGAATAGTGTCATTGCTTTGCTGAAATTTGTGTTATGTTTCTTGTCTTCTCTTCAGTATCGATTTATGCATTCGCAACTTCTACACTGGTCTTCCCGTAAAAGAGGCGAACAAAAAAGTTGCACCCTTGTATCAAGAACAGCAAGAAAATCTCCCTTTCAACCTTCTCGGAACATATAACGAAGGATTTTATGACCCGCTGACGGGTCAGCTCCGCGAGATACCACTTGAAGTTATCCTCATTGAGGGCACACCAAAACTGACATATTCATATTCTCGAAGATTTTCGGAACCCGAATTCGAGGTGGGGGAAGCAAAATTTGTGCCAGCGACTTCCACTGCAAGCAAAACGTTACTAACTTTCGAGATACCAGGTCTGGTAGCCTTCAACCATCCAATCGGGAATCCAAATGGGGGCTCTTCCGAATTTTTTGCCTTGCAATCATCAGTTTCAAAAGACAAAAATTTCAAGCGCAGCGATTTGAATGGCCAGTACGCTCCTTTCGGTTACATAATAGAGGGCTTCGATGTGTTTGATTCTCTCAAACCTGGGGATGTGATTGACTCCACAACTGTGGATGATTTTGGACAACTGAATTTGGTAAAGATTAGGTCTTCAACTTTCAAGGAAGTTACGCAGGGAACCGAGGAGGCATCGTCAAACGCCAAGACGAAAGCTTCGAGAGTGAAAAAAAAGGACCAGGAATCCAAGGAGTGATCCTGTATGAAAGTAAGAAAACTCTGTCTGCCGCTCAACATAAAAGTGTTGAGGCAGGTAAAAACAATCAACTCCATATTCCTTTTAATAGAGAAATATATGTAGTAGTTGCTTGGGCAGTTGTTTTGTGAATTCGGAATCAACATATTTGAATCACATCAGCACGGATGCATATTTTTATGCGATCATTGGAGCGTCTGGCATATGTCAACCAGATGTTACGTTTCGTACCACTCGTTTCTGATGTGTTGATGGCTTATGAAAGTAATTCTGTTGTGTAGAAAGCCATCCATTAGGCGACCCGGAAACAGCGAGATCCAAAAATGATCTAGAGCTGGCCCGTCTCATCAAACGACCAGGTTGTTTATGAGGTTCATATGGATGGTACAATAGTTTACGACTTGATCCATAAGCTGATTCGATATCTCCGCCACATTCTGTGCTGACGGACGCTGTGTCGTCATTATCTTCATCGTGGTCAGTGTCGACTGGTAGCACTACCGCTGGCTCCGACGTAATCACTGTCGATTTTTCACATGCAATGCAAACTGGAACGTATGCCGCCTTATGACAATCTACGAGGAATTGCCGAAATTCTTCTCTTTTTGATGTGCAGCTCCCCTCGTTTGTATCCCAACCGTCCAGTAAAGATGTTTGCAGCAAAGCCATGTCCTTGAAGGGCTTGAGATAGCGCTTCAAAAGAATCCATCGGTAAAAAATTATTGGAGCCAGAGGCAAGAAAGCGAAAACTGCTGGACCTGCTGCACCCCTGATCAAGAGCATTGTTCCAAGTAACATCTTCCCGGCCACCATTCCACTGACACACATATCGAAAATAAAAGGGAATCGTGCTCCTCCAACATCGAACTGTGGCTTGTAGAGAAAAATCATGACCCATCGAAGCATTGGTACACAAAAAAGAAAATAAACGAAAACTGCAATTGCAACAAGCGGAGATGCAGGAGCCAAAGCCAACAGGCAAAGCATCACAAACCCCGAGTCAATGTATATTCGGAAAGGTATGGGACCCCCAGAACCGCCGCCCTGAATAGCTCGTGCAAGACTCTTTACACCCAACCAGGAGAAAATGAAAGTATTCATTTGAAGGATATACTGTGTAGGTGAGACAATCAATGCTCGAACAATAATCCAATTGAGCCACATAGCTGAGACGGTATTTGGAATTGTGCTCGCTATACTTATCACAGTGTATCTGATATCATGTTCACCCTCTTCGAAACTGTTTACTAGAGAGGTTCCCGTGAAAGCGGAGACAATCATGAACCACCAGAAATATCGTATGGCGCTTCCCTCTGCACAAGCTGCACTTGTTGCGTTACTACCAAAATTGGCAATGATCTTGAACAACGGAGGGCAGATAGCATAAAAACCCGTCCAGATCATCGCTGGTACAAACCCATTGAATATATACTCCGCCTGGTAAGCTGCAAGCTCCAAATTCGGAGCGATTTTCTCCAAATATTCAGGAGAAATCAGTTTCTGTACCTGTGTCAAGGGGATTACATAAAAGATGTAAATCGTACCAAGTAATGCAAGTGTCAGAGTGTGCCTAACCATTTTCTGACGGTCATTGATACTCAACGTTACGGGTCGGACAAAGCTCGATAGGTTGGAAACTGGGGCATCTGCCAAAGGAGGTGAAGGCAAATCAGTTATAGTATTCCAACGGTCCCCGCCTCTCGAATCGGCCAGACAATGTCTTGCCGCAACGGCAGCCTGCCGCGAAGTGAACGTGACTACTGCGAATGTGCTTTCACTTGCCAAGTCAAATGGGTCCATCATATCGGTGGTACGCTTTCGCCAAATTTGCAGGTTGAAGGCGTTCTTGAAAATGGTAATAATTGACTCAAAAATAGACGATCCGGAGTAGCTACCACTAAGTATCGGGTCGTTTTTGCCATCCTTATCATGACGTGAAGAGTTTTCATTAGAAATCTGTAATACCTTCGTCCATTTTTCATTCGTTGTCTCGCTTAGTCGTTCTGTTGCAGACCTGGGATGCCTCAGACGCAAGCCAGCTTTTTCTTCAAAAGCGTAGGTAAGCTGTGTACCTTGGTCCGCCATGCTTGAGATCAGGGTTTTCTCCGACGAACCCAAATCGGCAGAGGATGTTACTCCGTTTGTTACATAGGCAGCATCCAGTTTCATCAGATCATTTGAACTTCTCGATTCGTCGATTGAAAACAAAGACCCTCCGATGACGTTCGATCTTTCTTGATTTTTTTTGGGCATTTCTGCACAACGATGGCCGTTATTAGTTTTTCGCAAAGGGATGACACTACTTGGCGACAATGCGGTTGGCTTTATATCAATATCCCCGATGGATTTGTCTTGTATACCATTGTTGGTATTTTTGCTTATATTGTGAAGACGTTTTCTAATTCGGTTCCTGCGATCGTGTTCACTTTCAAGCTTCTTCCAGATGGGGTTTGTGTGATGATCCGTTTTTGTCTCAATTTTTCGTACAACATGGTCAGATGCGTGGCGCTCGTAACCAAGCCTTTCTCGTTCTGTGGAATGGCTCATCGCAAAGGATTCTGTTCTCCCATCAACATCATGCGATTGCAATGTTCTACCTAATCTGGTATCTGCTAAAGATTCCGAAGACTTCTTTCTCTCTGAAAAGGCCGGCAACAAACCGAGATCATCGACACTCCTGACATGTCGGCGTCTAGAGTGCGGATCCTCGTTTGTGTCGGGTTGCGAAGAGCCAAACAAACTTTTCGCGCGTTTCGCTCTTTGTTGTTCAGCTATATCGTCATTAGTTGTTGGCCGTGGGAATACATTTCTGGTCTTTTTTTGCGAAATCCCTGTTGAAATCACTTTTTGCTCGAGAAAGAGACCAGCTTCTAGACAGAGCGCCTCAAGACCAGGTGTAGACCTTATCTCATCCGATCTATCATTTTTCCTTGAATTTCGAGTCGGAAATTCTTTTTCTTGCGTCGATCGAGGATCGGATGCATTGGAAATTGGGCCGACAATTTCAAGATTCTGTGTCAGCGATCGTAAGTGCGAATGCCGATTAGTTGGATAACCTATTGATTCCCCTGTTTTCGTTGGTTCTTCGTCGCTGTCTCTCACTTCTTCATGAAATTCATTCTTTTCGATTGAGATACCGTTAGTTTTGGTAGCTGAAAACATTAAATCTGATACGTCTGCATCATTGCAAAGCGAGCCACTCTCGACAATCACTTCTTGCGCTTTTTGAAGAGCTTGACTGGCTTCTTGGACGGCAAATATTGCATGCTTCTCCATTTCCAAGAGCTCCTCAAGAGATGAATTTCTTATTCTTGATTCATTCCATCCATTTGGTGCAATCTTGGCCGCTGCTTGGGCAAATTCTCGACTGTACACGGCGGTCTGCTCTGGACCAAGGTTAAGTGAGTGCAGAAAATTATTCGTCACGTTGAGGTCATCTGTTGTACCAAGTACTTCGTTAAAATATTTTTTCTTTTCCTCAGATTCGTCGTATACAAATGATTTCTTTGTCTTTTCGTGTTTTCTTTTCATTTGTTTCGTCATCCGTCGTTGTGACACCCCCTTTTTCATTTTGTACACATTCATTTCCTTCTTTAGTTGGGCAATTTCTTGACGAATGAATCGAAGTCTCCTAACTTTCGCAGCTGTTTTGTACCAATGCTTCCAAGCCTGTGTGACCTGGCTTGCTGCCGGGAGGATCGTTACCGCTGCGACACTGGATGAAAATCCTGGTTGATTAGGAACGCAATGATCAAAAAATGCGGACGTGACAGCCAACTGCCACTCAATACTTTGCTTTCTAGAGAATACCGCTTTTACATCTTCTGTCAAAAAGGCTTCGGTAGGCAAGCTTGGCAACCCTCCAACCAAAACACTATAAAGTTCTATGTTTGGAACGGTATCTCGTTGCTCTGGATGATGAATCCATGGATCTCGAGTCTTAGCATAGCTTTTCCCTTTTTCGATGTCGACCGTCCCTTGTCTGCTTTCCCGCTCTTCCCGCAGAAGGGTCTCTTCTAGCTCTGTATTCCGATCACTCCAATGATCTGCCTCCAAGAAGTAGACTCGACGCAGTGCCAGAAGATCTCTCCACTCTTTTTCGAGTAGTACATAGGTATACCAACTAACAATCCAAGAGACAAAGACAACTACATACAACCGAGGCAGAAGTTTTTGTTCTTCGGGCAAGAAGAATCCGATTATACCATTTTTAACTGCAGAACTACTTTCAAGGGGTGGGAAGTTTGCCATTGTAAAGCGCTGATAATCCGTTAGATTTTGTTGGAGACACTCAGTTTCATTAACGTAACCTCCAATTCGAGAACACTGTGCTGTTCTATAAACGGGCAAAACTATGAGTATATAGAGCAGGGCTGCCAAAGAGCTGACTCGCAAACACAGGTGGTGGAATCGGATCAATACGATTCCGTCCAAATTGACCTTGAGCATTAGACCCGCGAGACCACCATCCCTTGTCCCTGTACCCGGAACCCCACTGAGCATTGTCGTGTAAGATAGCTTCATTACCCAGGGCATCCATCCCCAATAAAGATTTCCTCGATCCTGACAGACATGGGATGGATTTGGGTTGTAAATTACCGTCTCGGGTCGAGCTGCACATCGCGCTGCTACGATAGTGGATTGTTTCGAGGTTGCCAAGCCGAAGGAAACCATCGAAACAACAAAACCAAGTGTCCCAGCGACGGCAGTGAAACCGATGCCTGTCAGAGTGGACATTTCAAGGCCGCTCTTTTGATCCTTACGGCTTGCTTGCAATTCAATCTTCTTGATGACACTAGATGTAAGTTAGCAGAGTTCATTCCTCCACTCGGCGATTATTTACGGTACAGTACTGCACGATAGCATTATTATTATCATTTGAGATGGTCAAATCAAATAATTGTGCTATTTACCGAAAGTTGTAGTTACGAGTACGTATTATGATATTATGACCCCTGCTACGAGGCTGGCCGTGGCTATGCGGGATTAAAATAATGTTCTTTACCAAGTAAAAGTTCTTTATTGTGCTTCTCTACTGTGCAGGTACGTATTTTCGCACCGTATTAGGTTTGATTTCTCCGTGGTTTCTTATTCAATCGTCCATTGCAGAACGATTCTCGTAACTTTTTCGTACTACGCGTAAAATAACAATTGAACTTTCGTTAATTAAGACGTTTTAACGTTCCGAATGTTAGCCTTAACATTCCGAATGTTAGCCTTAACATTCCGGACGTTACCGCAGTAGGCGTACGTACAATCTGTACTGTACCCGTTGGTGGCACGCCAGCAGGCTACCAGCTGCTGATCCAGCTGATCAGGAAGCTGCTCAGCGAGGAGCAAAATGATCTATTTGGAWGGATCCTAGTACAAAGCTGTGTAGAAAATCCTGTAGAAAATCGTGGATCAAGGTACTTCTTGCCTTGCCATTTTGGTCAAAATAGAAGGGTTTTGATTCAGCGTTCAAAATTGTACTGAGGCCTAGTGTCTTGACCTGAAAACTTCCCTCCAGCACGCTGATAGACTGCGTGCGTGCTAATTTAGCGTGCTAATTTAGCGTGCTAATTAGCATGCTAAACTGTTCTTTTCATTCTATCGAAAAAACACGGTTGGGAGCAATCGACCATGGGAATAGCTGTTTGAAGCACTTCCACTCACTCTTTCTTACTGTACTTGGTATCAATCAATAGCTTTCTTTGATTGTCGATTGAACAAGCCCTTAACTATAGCAAACAAGCAAGTGTAACAGATTTTATAGTGTGTTCAGTGTAGCTTCTTTTTCACGATGAGACTGCTTCTTCCGACGTCGGCAAACAGCAGTACTATGAGCATCGATCTAGCAGATAGGATGAATACACAGGAGAGAGAAGCCACRGATAGTCTCCTACAGCTGAATAGATCTCTAGGAGGCCATGCTGATGCATTACTCTCAGATGATTCATCTGTGGAGGATTTTCATCAAGAGGAAGCTCCTGCTCCTCCAGTGGCGCCAGCAGCACCACCACCACCACCACCACCACCACCTGCTCCACCAATACAACCAGCAGCATCTCATCCTTTGTTCGAGACAGCACAGGCTACACTGGCCAAGAGGAAGTACCTTTCACTGAAAGAAAAGAAAGATTTGCTGGTTAGAATTAGGGACAAGCTCAACCAAGACCTTATCAAAGCTGTCTTTCCTGGGGGAGACGCCCTGTCCCATGAGATGCAGAGGGTGTATCATGATGCAAGGATGACAGGAAGCACTCAGTACATGATCAAGAAACACTGGAGCCTGGCCTATTTGGCTACATTGCTTGCCAAATTCTTTACAGGGATGGAGATCAGGAAGGGGAGGAGTGACCAACAACAAAAAAGGGAAAGCAGAAGGACTCGTGCAGCTGCAGATGTGCTTGAGGATGTTGCTGAAGCAGTAAAGAAGGCAATGAAAGATGATGAACAGAGCACTAGACTAAAGGCATCCAAGCAGAAGAAAGGAAAGGTCTACTGGCAGAAGGGACAGGCTCGGCTACAGGATGATTGGGACTTTGATCCAGCCAAGCTGGATAGGTTTCCATGCCCTATCTGTGACAACTATTCCATCATGCCTGTGGATGATCTAAAGGAGGTTGAAAAGCACAACTTGAGGATGGAGAAGAAGCATGATACTGCTGTAGCCGCTGATGATGCAGTGAGCAGGGACAAGAAGGGGTGTCCTAGGCTCAAGGGAATATTGGATGTAAGGATGGGGTGCTACTGCTGCAAGTTCAACTGTAATCTGGATCCGAGGGGGGGGACTTGTCCTGAGTGCAGCAAGCCAGGTGTCGACTATCTTGAGTATGAGAATGGTGTGCCAGTCGCTTGCAACTGTCCCCTCTGCAACTGCCAGTGTTCCATCTAT